CATATCTAATACTGAGGGATTGCATTTTCTTATAAAACAAAACAAAAAAAACCTGATAACACAAAGAAAAACAATACAAAACTAAAAACTAAATAATCACAACCTCCTTTGGAGAAAACAGAAAATCACAAACTACAGCATGAAGGCACCATACCTAAATACAATTCTGCAATTCTCATTCTTACTCTCTCACTTTACAAGTCTGTGACATTCAAGCAAATCCGAAATGTTTTCCAAAACGGGTCCCCAAAAATCAAGTTTTAAGCCACTGGGTTTTGTGGATTACAAAGAGGTGTATAAAGAGTAAAGTAATAATCCTTCCTTAATGTATTTTTATCCCCCACATTTATTCTAAGTAATGCTAAGAGTTGTAATATTTGAGAAATTGATATAAAAAACATTTTGACATACGAACAAAAAACTTTTATCAACCTAGACACAAATCTGGACCACCTTAATCTTGAATCCTCTGCTCCACTTTCTCTTGCAATCAACGACAACTAAATGTAACTTGGCAGTGAGCCAGCCACCAATCCATACATTATATCAGATAATTAAAAATACAGCATTATGTAATCTTATTTCATGGTTACTTGGCTTGTATTGAAAACCATCCAAACCAATATCAGAGACTTGGATTAAATTATAATGCATAAGACATTTCTAAAGATGTTTCTTTAGTAAGAGTCAGCACATCCCCTACTAGCAAATATAAAACATGCAACACTACTTTCATCTCCAATTAACCTCTGCTTGGCAAGAACTGCAATGTCAATTCACCCTACAGGCACTAAGTGGGGGTCCGGAGTGGGATCCCAAAGCCTATTTTCTTTGACTGAGTTTTAACATCAAATAAACATTAACCACTAATTTTGTTAGAGAAACAAATTCAGAGGCCACGAGCGGTGGCTTACATCTGTAATCCCAGCACTTTGGGAGGCTGAGGCAGGCAGATCATGAGGTCAGGAGTTCGAGACCAGCCTAGCCAACACAGTGAAACCCTGTCTCTACTAAAAATACAAAAATTAACCAGGCAAGGTAGCAAGCACCTGTAGTCCCAGCTACTTGGGAGGCTGAGGCAGAAGAATCACATGAACCCAGGAGGCAGAGGTTGCGGGGAGCCTAGATCATATCACTGCACTCCAGCCTGGGCAACAGAGTGAGACTTCGTCTCAAAAAAATAAATAAATAAATATTCGGGAAACGAATTCATTTAGGAGGTGGAGGAGGAGAACCAGTTATCCTTGTAAAATGAAAATAAAATCAGCAATCAGTGCCCACCATGAAACACAAGTCTGGAAAAAACATAAAAGCCAATGTATACCAGACAGGAGTATATCTCTTATTGTCATTCTAGCTCAACAAAGAAAAAGAGTAATTCAGTTAGGAAGTTGATCAATCTTTACGAATATTGAATTTTTAAAGGACGACTACACCTCATCTATAAACTGTTTCATTATCATAATGCATTGATTATTAAACTAATATAATGGTCACAGGAGGGCTTTAATTCAAAAGTGCCTCTTGGCCTCAGCATCAAAATCCTGGAAGATAAATCTACCATAAATGTTTGCTTCTGCAAAGAAGGCAAGTGCAGACAGAAACTTTTTGGAAAAATCAGGATAAACTTCCTAAAGGATATATATTATTTCCTATACATTGTCAGTTGGAAACAATCATACTAATCATATTGATTTCTGCAGGGTTTGAAGTTAGCAAGTGAGAAGTATTTCATTTCAACATTTTAGGAAGGCAAAATAAGAAAGAACAATATCTTCAGAGACAGAAGACCTGAGAGTTCAAATTAAATCTCAGTTGCCCACAAGCTTAGATGGCTGGGATCCTCAGTTCCCTCCCTGAAAAGAGAAAACATGAACATCTGCCTTACTGGAATGCAAGTGTGAGGACGAAACTAGTGCCTTGGAAACTTTAAAATACTATGCAAACATAAGGCCTTGTTAGAGTTTAGAGATACCATAAAATGTATCTATTACATGGCACACTACGGTTCCCCATGCTGGCCTACTCTACAATTTAGTGCCGAAATACCAACTTCAATGTGAATAACTGCTGAAAACACAGTTGCATTAGAGGCAAACACAAATACAACGAAATTAAGAAAAAACGCTTTCATATAGCCCATAACAAGATGGTTGGATTTAAAATCAAAGCTTCCTCACAATCATGTAGCTTCAGATTTAAAACACTTGTAATTTTGGACCTACGTAAGAGTGTAATTAATGTTTTAAGTGATAAAGCTTTGCATTCTGAGTATCAGCCTGTGATTTAAGAGAAAAATGTTTCAGTCTGAAGTAATCTAACAGTAAGACAAGCTTCTGAGCAGCACCTCCTCCTTCCTTCACGTGTGAGAAATATACTTCTTACAAGAATTACTTTTACGAAAAGTAAGTTTATCAAGTTTAACATCTAAAAAACACTAAATGGCAACATATCCCCAGTAAATATCTGCTTCAAGTAACTGGAAGCCATTAACACTAGTAAAAACACAGAATCCAAAAGAATTTTGGACGTTTTAGCAACACAATACTATGGCAACATGGCAGAGAAAATCATTCTGACTTTTAAAAATAAGATAACACACTACACTTTTACTTTAACTGTTCCTTAATTAAGTACAACCTAACTTTGATTCGGCCTCTCTATTAGGAAAAATGCACTTGAGTCCACAGTCCAGAATATTTCCAATTCCACGGATCTCATGCAATGTACAAAGAAATTTCTTTCACAGAGACGACAGCCCAGCAGGCGATAAAAGATACATGTAAATCATCAGGCGCAAGGAGTACAAACTCAACTGCAGAACTGTTCAGAGGGCACAGAAATCAAACTTAGGAAATTATTTTCTTTTATTTAGTAATGCATGCCCATTACTTTTTCACAAGCCCATTTTATTAAAGAAATAAAAATAAGCCTGCAATTAAAATAAAATGGGGGAGCTCCATAAGCCTATTTCTGTTCATCAATTCAAATATTCTTAAATTCTTGGAGACCGTAAGAGTCTCTCTACCACCATCGGTCGACTACACACACACCCTACTCTGAAGAACTGGCTGAAACAGGCAAATAGTGGAGGTCACTGTTTTAAAATATAGGTATCTATATACAAATAGAATATGTCTGCCTCATCTTTCACTTCCAACAATAAAAGAGCCAGGGCGAGCACTGAGAGCAGCAGATCCGATTCATCCAGGGAACCACAGACTATCAGTGCACAGTAATTCCTGCAAAAGGTAACAGATCTGACCAGATCATGTTGCTGCCATTTCCCAGAGAAAAGACAGACCAATTGCCCCCACACCCATCTTCATCTGAAATACATATTCCAGGAAAAGTAGGAGACTGCTCCCGGGAAGGAAGGCTTAATTTACCGTGCATCCCAGCAGATGATTCAGGAAGCCACAGGAGGAGAAAGCCAGGGGAACGGGGTCCCGGGTAGGCGTGCCTCCAGATACCCCTGTATCCCTGTCCGGCAGTACTTCCTAGGACCCTTCACACCCTGAGCTGGCTAGAGTCGTGTGAAAACGGCAAGGACTCCCTTCACCACCGTTCCAAACCTCAAGCCAGCCACCAAAGAGGGCCACCCAACCCAACGCCCCCCAGAAGGGTGCTCTTTTGCCGGCCTCCTCTCCCCTACTGACTTCTCCAAGGGCCAGCCTGCAAGGCTTGGCATGGGCTGCCCACCCCACCCCGGGGAGGGCTGACTGCCCCGCCAGGGCTGCTGCAGCCTGGACACAGGAGAGACAAAGGGCTGGGAGGGTGAACTGGGCTCCTCCCCTGGGACCACGGAGCTCCTCTCCTCTCAGGTGCTGGGGTCTGACCCCAACCCTCTTCCAAGGTCCCCAAACTTCGCTAACAATCCAAGCACCTGTTCCCTTCGCCTTTTCTGCATTTCAGTCCCTCAAGTCCTTCCATTTTCCTCCAGCTTTTTCTCCAGTACCTCAGACAATCCAAACACCCTCCTTCCCCGAGCTAACACGCTCCCCTCCCATGAGATAATTCAACCTCGTCCCCAACAAAGCCCCCAGATGGTCGCTGTCCCCTACCCAGAAGTTTCCCCTGGGTGTCTCCGAGTCCCCAAAGATTTCCTTCAAGTCTCACCCACGCGCCCCAGCCTTCTCCTTCCTTTCCGAGTCCCCAAAATTCACATCGGGGTCTTCCCCTAGGTGTCCCACAGCCTCCCAGGTCCCCGTGCAAACGCCCCCGGGGGCCATTCGGGCCTCCGTCTCCGCCGCGTCCGCTGACAGCAGAGCGCACGGAGGCGCCCCCCGGGCCCCCGCGTTTCCACCCGGCCCCCAACCGCCGCCGGCCGGCAGTTAACGGCCGGCGCCTCACCTTGGTTCACCAGGCGCAGGGCGTGCGTGAAGGAGGGGTCCAGGGAGTCCTTCTCCGCCATCAGCTCGGGTAGGTACTTCTCCTCCATGCTCGCCGGCCGCCGGGCCCGGGACGTGGACTCCAGGCGCACGGGCGGCGGCGCCAGGCAACCCCCGACTCCGCCCGCGCCCCCAGCGGCGCGGACCCGGGGGCCAGACGCGGCGGCTGCGGCCAAGCCGGGCAGTCGGCTGGGAGGAGGCGGCGGCGGCGGCGGCACGGGGGCGGGAACCGGCCGCTGAGCCCCGATCCCCGGTGGCCGCCGAGTGCCCAGCGCCGGCGGCCCCCGCGCTCCGGGCGCGGGCCAAGGAGGAGCGGGCGCGGGCGGCGCGGTTAGGCAGGCCCTCGGGTCGGGCTGGCGGCGCGCTCGGCGCCCCTGAGGCAGTCCACGGCGATCCCCGCCAGTCCCGCCAGCACCTGCCAGCGCCCGAGCCACAGCTGCAACCTACACGCCGCGCGCCTCCCCGCGCACTCTGAGCCGCCGCGCCGAGCGCCCAGCGCCTGCCGCTGGCCCCGCCCCGCCCGGCCCCGCCCCGCCCGGCCCCGCCCGGCCCCGCCCGGCCCCGCCCCGCCCGGCCCCGCCCCGCCGCCCCGCGCCTGCGCACTGGCGCCCACCGCCCCACCGCGCGCCGCCTCCTGGGGCCGCTCTCGGCTGCGCGCCCGTCGGGACTAACCGGACGTCTGCGAGAAGGGGTGCTTCAAGGGCCTCTCCCGCGTGCCTGGCGCCCACCTTTGGCCCTGAGGGTCGAGTGGGGAGCCCCACGACCCTCTTACAGCCTTCCAGATGCACGGACTGGGAAACTGGGGCTCAGAGAGGTCAAGTGGCTCGCCCAAGGTCACCCAGCGAGTGATCCTGGGAAGAGGGGACAAGGGTCGAGCTGGAGCTGGGAAGGGCGCCCCAGTTCGCCCCAGCCGCGCTCTGAGGAAAAGCAGCGGGACCGTCCTGCTCTCTAAAGCTCCGTGGACTTCTTTAAGTTATGTCGCGTTGCTGTCCCCTCGTATTTACAAGAGAGTAAGGCAGGGGCGCCGTACTTTCTCCTCTCCTGAGCTCAGAGGGCCAACCTCCTGCGATCCGCCAGCTCAGAGGTCTGTTACATAAAAGCGCGTGTCCTTCTGGGCGTCTTTGTCATCCCGACTTGCTCCTGGGTTGTCATTCTCTTAGGTCATAAACCGGCTGTGCCTGGACACAGCTGAGTGAGCCGCGTCTGAGCTCATCCGCTCCCGGGGAGAGGCCCTGGGACGCCCCGCCTGTCGGTGGCAATGCCCTCTGTCCCCTTCCGCCCACCCCCAACCCCCAGCAAATGCGCTCCCAGGCCATTTCATATTTCCCGAGGCATGTGGAATAAACGTCCCCCAGGAAGGCCAAGGACTTCAGTCCTTGCCCTGACGTTTTTCCTGCCTTCAAACACCCAGCTCAAGTCCCAGCCTCAATGTCACCTTCCCTGGACAGCCTATCAGGACCTCCCTGGCAAAGCAAGTCACTTCTCTGTGTCCCCCCCAGTTCGGTCAGAGGTCATTCACAGTCAGCTGTAATTCTGTTTTCAGTAGACCATGAACATCAGGGACAGAGCTTGAGTTTTGTTTTTGAGGGGGAACGTCCCCAGCGTGTCATACAGGGGGCAGGGATGGAGGGTACTGGAAATGTCTCTTGGAGGAGTAAGTCAGTGGCATGCCACTTTCAGCCAATGGCCTGAGGACAATCCCCACACTCCCCCAGGCAGCCCCCGCCCTCCCAGTGCAAATGGAGGCGGCTTTACAAACCTCGAAGGGAGTGGGAGGTGGTAGAAATCTTGGAAGCTCTAAGTCCCAGCCCCAGTACTCAATTGCCCTCACTCTCAAGGCCCCACTCCTCCCCTCCCCGGGTAAGGTGCCTTTTCAGAGTCCCCAGTAAGAGTCTTCCTCATGTCTCTCTTTAGTCTCAACTTGCAAGAAGCAGAAAAATGACACAGTTAAAAGCAAGGCCTCTGGGATTAAACAGCCTGGATTTGGAATCATGGCTGTGCTGCTCACTAGCTGTGACCTTGGGCAAGTTTCTTCACCTCAGGGTCCTCATCTGTCAAGTGGAGATGACAACAGAACCTATTTCATAAGAAGTTCGTGAGAACAAATATGTTAACTCATAATGAAATACCCAAAACAGCATCCCGTGTATCAGAAATGCTGAGCTGATCTTTGCTTTGGGTTTTTCCCTGCTGCAGGGCTATCCTCTGGGCCTTCTGAGCCTCCCTCGCCTTCGCTTCAACTGTAACTCCAGGGACGCTGGGCAAACACCCATCTGTGGACTCCTCGCTGCTGGACATGGTGCTTCGCCCCAGCCCGGCCAACTGAGTGAAGGACCTGTGACCGTCGCACCTCTGTTTCTGACTTGGTCCCAGCATCAGACTTGTAGGCTGCTTGTGGCTGCTCTTCTCAATTCCAGGTCTGTGACTGGCCTCTCAGCCCCAGAGACAAAAAGGGCACTTCCCAAACCACCCTCACCCAGAAGGGCAGGAGTGTGGATGGCTGCATCCTGGCTGCTACCTGCCTCACTATGCCGCTTGGTTAATTAACTTGGAACCTGAGCTTCCCGGTCCACACCCCCAAAACCAGGGTTATGCCAGTAGTCCTGCGGGGCAACAGGAGGGACTCATAGGACAATGTCTTTTCCTTTTACAACTGAAGGGAAGCATACACCTCTGGCTTATATTCCTGTGTCATAGGACTTACATTCTATGGTAGGGTTCCCTGACAGCTGCTTGTAAAGGGGCAAAAGGGGACGGAGAATGTCTGGGATGAGGCTAGAAGAGGAGAATGGGGCCTGGATGTCCAGCAGCTTCATCGGAACACTTAGACTCTCTCTTCTCAACAGCTCTTCTCACTCTACGTCTTCCATTCAGACCATCTGCCCCGGTGACAGTCCAGACCTTGAGGAGTCACTGTTTTTATTAAGTGCCAGCCCTGTGTTTACGACTTCGGATTCGCTATGATTCTCTCAACACCCTGTAAGGAAAATTCTATTTATCACCACTTACAAAGAAGGAAACTGAGGCCTGGGGCAGTTTAATACTACCTTGCTTAAGGCTCCACAGCTGTCAGCGGGGATCCCAGGCCCACCTGACTCTCTGACCCTTCTTTCTCTCCCTTCCTGGTTCTGCCTTCCCAGGTAGCAATCTGGGACACTCCCGACTGGCTCTTCCTCCCTCCCTGATCTGAGCTGGCAGAGTCAGTCCGCCAACAGCTGTGGAGGAGGGCTATGCACTGGGAAACTGACAGCAAGGGCACTGAATCTTCTGCTCCAGACCCTCCTTCTCCGAGAAGCTTCCAAGAGGGCAGGTGTCAAGCGCTGTGAGTGCCCATGCGGGGTCCTCCAGGGAGGAGGGAGATGAATGTCTCTGTGAGATGCTCAGGAAATTGTCCCCACCCACCAACCTGGCTGTGGGGCACCTCCACGCCGTGCTGCACACTCTGCTGATCTTCATGTGATCACCGCCCTGCAGGCACTAACCCTCTGACCCTTTTGAAAAGGAGAGATCAGGTCTTGGGAAAGGTGGTGATTTTCCCACAAGCAGCTGCAGGTGGTCCTCACACTCAGGTCTTTCGGCTTCCAGGCCGTAGGAAGGTCTCTCTAGAATACACCAGTACTCACTGAACACATACTATGGGCAGAGACTGCTCTGGGTACCGGGGACATAGCCATGGACAGAACAGACTTCTCCAAAGGCCCTTAAGGCCAGGGCACTGGGCCTGCGTACTCCATCTGCAGAGTCTGTGGTTAGACTGACCAGACGCCCAGGTCTGGACTGGAAGCCCCGCACTGCAATGAGGAACTGTGGCTGCTCTTTCTTCTCCCGTCCAGGTCTGGGACTAGCCTCTCAGCCCCAGAGACACAAGGGTACTTCCCAAACCCACCCCACCCAGTGACACTGGGCCATCTCAGAAAACACAGCAAGTCCCTGTAGTCCCAGCCCACCACCATGGCACTGTCTGCCAGAATCCACACCTGCCTCCTCTTCCCCCACTTACTGACTCCTGGGGAGAGACAGACAAGTCCCTGGCCTTTATGACACTAACTGCAATAAGTCAGACAGCTGCAGCAACTCAATGTCATCAGAGGTGACAAAAAATGTAGGGAGCGTGTCTATGAGGAAGTTTTCATATTTGCACAGGACAGCTGCTCACACTACAAGCTTCCTCTTCCTTTTGTTTAAGAAGGGTGAATCCTGTCCCAGTTACTCCAAACCTCTGCAATGCCGTTCTGTGAAGTCCTAATCCAACTGCACCAAAGGCCAGAGAGACCTCAGCTCGGCCCCAGCTGCCCTGCTTACTGTCCTCCTCACAAGATCATTTTGAGGTTGAAACTGAAGGATTAAGCTCACATAGGCACCACATGCATTTTAAAGCTTTTCCATTCTCCATCCTCTCCGCTCCAGTAGCATTGTTTGTGCTCCTGTTCACACTTGACATCTGGTCCTGGTCATCTGTGGACCCCTTTACCTTCACACTGTCCCCAGAGCCTGCTCAGCTGCCCAGCCCCAGTGCCTGGTCCAGAGGTCAGTTCACAGCAAGCACTCAGCATTCATTCTGGATCTGTGTCTCCTAAAATGCAGTCCCGGAACAGCACTGCTACCCAGCCATCTGAGGCCAGTGCATTTGTCATGTAAGACAGGCACCAAAAGATGGCACATCCTTACCTAGAAATCAGTCCTTTATGTATCAGGGAGAAAGACACCAAGAGTGTTCACTCTGAACCCTGACTCCAGTCAGTTACAGCAGGAAATACTTTTTCAAACCTTGTAACTGTGGCTGAAAAGCCTTGACACAAGTTGGGGAGGACACAAAGCAACTCTTCAAAGTTTGGAGGCTTCACACAGTTCAAAGCCCAGTGTGGATCTGGAGTGCCTTCACCAAGGACTAGTTGGTCTGTGAGTGGCTCTCTTGTATTTTACTCAAACAAGCTCCAAAATCCTCCTGCATTCAGGTAGTCACAAGCCACCACTTTTTAGAGATGAGGAAACTGTTACTCAGAAGGTTTAAGTGACCCAGAGGTAGTAAGTGGAGAATTGGACACATGCTTGCCTGCGTATACACACACACACACACACACACACACACACACACACACACTCCACCCAGTGTGAGAATGGGTAGAATCAGACCTTCAATCCCAGTCACTCACATATCTGAAGACACCTGTTTTTCTGTCTATATCCATCTGCCCTGCAAATCTATACCCTCCTCTTAGTATTTGGTGGATGGAAACTTCAATTTCTCTCGCCAGCTCTCTTCTTTGACAAGAGAATCGAGCCATCCTGGCTATCTTTCTGCAGCTTAAAAAAAAAATTTTTTAAATAAAAATAAACCACACACACAGATATTGTGCACACACCCCCTAGTGGCCACATGTGGAAACACATGCCCTACAAAGTGTGCGTTGGGATTGATAACCGCTTGGGTTTGAGAAGGAAACCCCAGATAGGACTGCAACTCCATCCTAGGAAGGAGGATGGTGAAAGATGATCTTATGTGGAAGACAGTGAAAAAGGAAAAAGACAAAGAAAAGGTGGGGGAGAAAGAAAAGTGTGATGGAGAAAAAGAAGGCAAGAGAACAAACGGAAGATTAAAGAAAGATGTATAGGAGGACAGAGAGAAAACAATAAGACAAGCTTAAAGGAGGGATGTTTCTCAGTGTGAAGTCTTTCTCTGTTTCAAATATAACTACAAAAAGTAATAATGGAAAATAACATGAATTGGTGTGTCCAGGGTCAGCTGGCCATCCTGTATACAGGAGGTGGTGACAGGGTCCATATCTGACCCCATCACTGCCTGACTGGGTAATCTTTTCAGAATCCAAAGCTTTCTCTGTCCCTATTTCTGAGCTTGTAAAGGGTAGCTAATAGCAGTTGTTCTTTCCTATTTTATTGAGGTCTGATGAGAACAATAAAGATTTGCAGAGAAAACCCTGAAAAGTGCTCTAAGCTCTTGGACATAACCATCACAGAAATGTGTTTTATTATTTTTCTCAATGCAACAGAAACCCTCCATCCTTTGCTTCCTGGTCTAAAAGGTTATATGTGATGCTGGAGTGCCAAAGTACTTGCTGTATTTCAACAATGCATCAAGTTATCACCACCTCTAGTGCTTTGGAAGATGCTGTGATTTGGAAAGCGTTGTCGAAATGTAAAACATTATTGCCACAGTAGTAAAAATATCTGTGTCCATCTCCTAGCCCACTATTTCTTGTCAAGATGCATAGAGATACACACAAAACAATTCTGTCCACATTAGTAGAATGTTTTACAGCAAAACCGCACATACCTCAGTTTGGCAAAATAATCAGAAACAAAATATTTCTGTCAGTGGCAAGTTAGCCTTCATGTCCGAACAGCTACCGAGGGGGTGATAAAGTGTTTAGTGTCCACTGCAAATGTGAAGACATCCAGGTCTCATATAAAAATGCCAGTTTGGGCTTCTGTTTTTCTTAAGAAAGGAAGAAACAAACTTACAAATGGGCTGTGGAAAAAGAATGGACATAAAGCTGAGATTGTGGACTTAAGTTAGATCATTGAATTACAAGAGAAACATTTTTTCTCAAAATTAAAGTTGACTTTTGTTGGTGACTCAACTGCAGACTTGCTGAACAGGTCCGTGAATTTCATTCTTTGGCATCTCTCTAGTGTAGCACTAGCCTTTCCACTAATATCAGCCCTCATCCACCACCATGTCTGGATTTATACCAAGGTGACACAGAATGCCTCAAAATCTATTGCTTGTTGTTACTGGAGAGATAACAACAACCTGGGCAACCTCGATCGACTTTATCATGCCTCTGATGACAGCTGGCATGTGGAACGCTCCAGCTTCCTCTGGCAAATCTTATCCTGAGAGCAAATTCTCAGTCTTTGTAGCCATACTTGTTGGTCTGCAAGCAGCAGCAACTTAGATGTAGAAATTATCATGATCTGGGCACAGTTCAAGAGTAAGTTACCCTTGTGCGGTTGAGCCCACAAGTTAAGGAGTCTGACACCACCGTGGGCCTGCCCCTAATGATCTGGGAGCTTTGGGGCAAGGCAGCCTCTTTGGGCCTCTCTTTCTGCACTTGCGAAATGAAGGCAATATTACCCCCTCCCGTGCAAACAGTTACTTTAGGACCTCCATGAGCTGAACGTGTTTAAAATGTTCATCACAGAGCCTGACACTCCAGGGGCACAGAACGGGTACAGCATCAGTAGAGCAGCACTGTCCAAAAATAATGTGGGCCACACGTGTAAATTTAAATTTTCTAGAAGCCAGTTGGCAATGTGAAAAGAAACAGATGAAGTTAGTTTCAATAAGGTTATTTAATCCAATATATCCAGAATGCTGTTTCAATATGTGATCAATAACTTTAAAATATTAATGATATTTTACATTCTTACTTATATTGACTAAGTCTTTGAAATCTGATGTGTAGTTTGCACCTACAGTACATGTCAATCCAGTGTAACATTTTCGACACCTAAATTTTATCCAAACTATAAAATTGTGTGAAAAAAAAATTCTTCCACTGCTTCCATTTTAAAATTTAACTTTAATTAAAATAACATGAAAACCAGTTATTCACTAGTGACAGCCCCAATCCAAATGCTCATTAGCCACATGTGGCTGGTGGCTGTGGGATTGGGCAGTACAGAGTCAGAAGAAGATATTCTGGGAGGTGGATTAGAAACCCCAGCTGTAAGTACTTAACCAAGTAGGCTCACCCTTGTCTTAGCTTCCTCCCCATGAAGTCCCAGAGTAGGCTGCCCAGGCCTGGGGCAGCAGCTACAAGATGTCCTAAGTGTGCCATGCCGCTGCAATCTTTCTGCTTCATCAACCTTAGGGGGCCAAAATGGGCTGTGTTCATTCCACCCTGGGTATCATGACCTGATTCCAGGCAGGAGTAAGGAAAAGGGAAAGAGCTAAAGGGAAAATTCTCAGCACCTGTTGAGTCTGTGCAGCTGATAGGATGCTTTGTTGGAAGCCTCATCAAATGGCTTTTGCTTAAGTATCATTAACCAAACTATATCACACATGAACACCCTTATTTGCAAGGGGCAGAACTGGTCACTATAGTGTTTTCCCTGGGCACATCACATCCTCCAACAAAAGCAGCGTTCCTCAGTAAGGAATAGAGGATAATTGATGTTTAGGAAGCAACTGACAGCCTCTATCGGAGGTGGCATCTGCAATTATCATGACCACTTCAACTCCTGGCTCTATCACTACACAACTACCATCAAACTCTCAGATGATCTGGAGGAGGCACTCACAAACAATCTTTAAAGAAATAAAACAGTAGGGTTGTGCATTTTTTGCTGGTTGAAGGAAACAAAACTCCCTTTCCTGCATCGCATCTTACAGTTCAGCCAGGTGTGATCCAGGGAATCAGAACAGACAGGAAAGGGAGGGCAGGAGGACTGGACTGCCTTTCTGAGTGGACTCTGGATACTAGGAAGAAGTAGAGTCTTCTAGGCAGAACAAGGTGTGGCGTGAGCAGGAAGTCCCTCCTTTGTGGCGCTGAAGGAGAAGCTGTGGCTCAAGTTACTGCTGGATGGGGACTAGCTGTAAGCAACCAGGAGGGAGACTAGATGGAAGGCAGGTGTGCGCCCCCTGTTGTGGCCCTTCGTTTCTTACAGACACCAAAGATGTTTCCATGCGCTCAGCTGTAGCGTGGAGGTCTGTCTTGCGATGCTGACTTCCTGTGCTCTCGTCTCCCCACTATGCCTCTGCTCATTGATGAGCAGGAACAGATGCACTATGAACCTCAGTATCACCTAGATATGGTCTTGTTTCCTTTTGGAGAGGCACTGAAAACCTAAGCCTCACAGCGGGATCAATATTATGACCATTTCATAGGCCAGTTGTGAGGGTAAGATGAACGAATGCACGCAAAATGCTTAGTTTCCCCCAGCACATAGTTTCCAAAAAAACTTTTCTGAGGGTTTTCTTTTTTTTTTTTTGAGACAGCATCTCACCCAGTCACCAGGCTGGAGTGCAGTGGCGTGATCTCGGCTCACTGCAACCTCCACCTCCTGGGTTCAAGCGATTCTCCTGCCCCAGCCTCCCCAGTTGCTGGGACTACAGGCACCTGCCACCACACCAAGCTAATTTTTGTGTTTTTAGTAGAGACGGGATTTCACCATGTTGGCCAGGATGGTCTCAATCTCTTCACCTCGTGATCTGCCTGCCTCGGCCTCCCAAAGTGCTGGGATTACAGATGTGAGCCACTGTGCCTGGCCTCTGGGTTTTTTCTTATCATGCTACAGTGAGTTTTGTGTTTTCTTTCCTGTATCCTATTATTTCATATATTGGTCGGAATCTTGGCAGGAAGGAAATGGTGCACTCAAAAGGAGTCATTAAAGAAAGTTTCATAAACAGCTATTTATAAGGTGTGGGCAGGGCAAAGAGATACAAAGGAAAGAGTTTGGCCGTCTAGGCCGCCAGTGGGAGACCTTCTCATCCTGTGCCTGAAGAGGCCGGGAAAGAGCAGATGTCAGAACCTGAGAGAGCTGTGGAGGTGGCAGCAGGCCTCCAGCAGGAACTGTAGCTGAATATGGAAGACACTAGCCCTGTTGAACAGGGGCAGATCCAGGAAGGAGCCAAGGCACTAAACACCCTGACCTCACTCTTCTACCCTCTGATCTCCTGCGAATGCCTCCCACTGGCTGAGTTGGAACTGAAGTCAGGGATTGGGGAGCCCAACTGATCTATTCCGTAAAGGTAAACCTCTCAGGGTAGAGACTGAAGTTGAAAAAGGTGGAGAGTAGATCTAGAGGAGGCAAAGAAGACCAAACCCCTTTGCAATGTGGTGTAATAAATAATTTTACCTTAAATATCTGGCACTGGCTTACTGGATTTCTACTCTGGTTAATTATGTTTTCTCCCTGCAGTGTTTGATATCCTCTTTCAGGTTATGCATTCACGTGGCTTCTGGTTGAGAAGCCAGAGACAGAGAGGCATCCTGGTGCCACAGACAGATCACAGGTTCTGGGCTGTCCCGGAATTTCACTCCATGCCTCTCTCATTAACTCATCATGTGAGCTAAGACAAGTTAACAGGCCACTCTGAACCAAGCTCTCCAATCAGTATTACAGGAGGAAAAGTGGTCACCTCGCTAGGTAGTTGTGAACATTAAAGTGATGTGTTTTCTATGCCTCTGAAACCCTGTGGAAGCTGTAGGCATAATGGCTAGGAGCTCATGTTCTCAAGGTAGCATTTGTGGGTTCAAATCCCAGCTCTGCCATTTTTAGGCTCTGTGTCCTTGGCTTAATTACTTAATCTTTTGTATCTCAGTTTCCTTATCCACAAAACAAAGAGAAATTGTCCTTACCATGTAACATGATTGTGAGAATTAAATGTTCAATGACATGACAAGTAATTGGGACAGTGTGTGGCACTGGCCAACACTCATTGTCCCCAGTTACATGTAAAGCACCGAGCTGCACGCAGTGTGTGCTCAATACCTGTTGAACTCCCTTCCTCTTTCCTTTAAGGGAAATGTGAGGCCTGATCAGCACTGAGCACATGGACAGCGCCCTGTTGAACTCTGAGAGAACTTCTTCCTTTGCCCTGTTAGATCCAATACAAGCAAGTGTTTGGGGCATCGGAGCAGGAACAAAGGATACAGTAGGGCCCATGGATGGTGGCGCACAGTCCTCAGATGAAGGAAAGCACAAAAGCTGCAGCCCCGACGCCTCTGCCCAAGAAATAACTGGGTTTCATCCAAGTATAGGGCTGCCTAGCATAGCAGTTAAGATCCTAACTAAGGAGCCAGCTTCACTCTAGCAGTGTGATTTTGAGCTAGTTACCTAACATCTCTGTGCCTCAGTTTCCTCACCTGTACAAAGAGGATTACAATGGCACCTACCTCATCTTCAGTGAAGATGAATTTAGTATGTTTGAAAGTGCTCGAAACAGGACAAGCCATATAGTAAATGCTGTACAAAGATTTATTATATAAATAGAGAAATCTCAGTTCAGTAAACAAATTTTGTCCAATTGATTTCCCTAGTGTTCAGTACTGGTCTGAGTACTGTCCTTTCTTGGGTGCTGAGATCAAACAAAAACTGTGCTTGTCTGTCCAGGATAAAGATAGAAAATGCTTAAGTCAGCAAAATCAAGAGGCCATACATTGATACGAGTCACTCAAATCCACTGTTAGCATTCTATAGCCTGAGAATAATTTGATTTTTTAAAACTCTCATAGACAAAACAAAGCCTTGCCAATATTTCCTGATCAAGGGATAATAGAATTAGCCAACTGGAATGAAATTCTTGCTCCCTCTTTACTGGCTTGTTTGTATGACTTGGTCAAGTTATTCCACATTTCTTTGGGCCTCCATTTTCTCATCTATAAAATGGGGATAATAATTCCTATGTCAAATATTCCTATAGGCATATAGCAGTTACTTAGTAAATGGGAGTGGTTTCCTTCTACCTTTCATCTTTGAACGTCTATGAATATGGAGAAAGTCTAAAAAACATCTAATTTTGGAGACTGAATTTCACAGAAGGCATCAGTTAGTCAAGCACCAACAAGTTCGAAGCCAAACATGCGTCAGGGTTTGTTTGTTTTCCTAAC